GACGTTCACCTTATTAGCGGAGATCTCCGTGTTCTGTCTCTTATACACATCTAGATGCTCACTCTCTCTCTCTCTCTCTCTCTCTCTCTCTCGGTCGCTCGCCAACCCACCGTCCTCCTTTGAGTTCAATCGACATCGCTAAGAGATCAATGCACATATGGCAAACACGCATCCTCGATTCTTCCCGATCCCGATCCGCTCCAACCGCGACCACGTTGTACTCCTTACGCTCACTCCACCCTCCTTCATCTGCAACCCCCCCCGGCCCACGCTCAGTCCCTAACTGCTTTCACTCCGACAATTAAAATCCCCCTTTCATCCCAGTAACCCATCGCCATCCCAACACTCCTCGACCATAACCTACCCTATTTCCCCCTGCGCCCGCCCCCCCCCCCCCCCCCCCCCCCCCCCCCCCCCCCCCCCCCCCCCCCCCTCCTCCTCTCTCTCTCTCTCTCTCTCTCTCTCTCTCTCTCTCTCTCTCTCTCTCTCTCTCTGTGCATGTGTTGTCATGTTTGCTATACACAACTCCACAAAAACAGCATGACTATGCCAGCCTAATTCGTCGGACTTTCACCGACTCATCATGAGGTTGAACCGCGACAGTCTGCCCAGCACCATTTGACTGATGGATAAGGGCTCTCACCACATCGCCCAGAGTTAGCGATACCCTCGGGAGAGAAAAGCGGTCCACTTCACTCACGCCAACCCTGCAGTCCTAGCAGACTTGTCAGGGGTTCAAACCCCTGAGAAACTAGTCCGACACAACCATAAAACCCAGTCTACACACCCACTCAGTCATGGATACCCAATGACATGACCGCTAGTATGTTCCCACTGTGTGCGTGTGAAGGAGTACGTGATTTTATTTCTTTTGACTAGTCTTGATTCGCCACCGCAAGCAAACAACACACATATGGCACACACATGCATACTGGATATTCCAACTGCACACACAGGCATGACCACAAGGTTGGGATCTCGACCCAATCTTGACGCCCACTCCAGCCACGACCCCGTCCCCGTCCAATACTCTACCCTTCTCCATCGAGCCCGATCCCTACTGCTTCCGTTCCCACATCCAATCTCTGACCTGTTTCCACCCCGACACCGCTGCCCGAAACGCTTGCATCTGCACGCCCAATCCCCAAATCGATTCTGCATGATGCCCGCCCCTCCTATCTAGACTCCCCCATCCGGATCCCGATTTGCATGATGATCCCCTCCCCCATTCATACCTGTCTATGCCCTCAAGATTCACCACTTCACCCTCTCTCTCTCTCTCTCTCTCTCTCTCTCTCTCTCTCTCTCTCTCTCTCTCTCTCTCTCTCTCTCTCTCTCTCTCTCTCTCTCTCTCT